GCGCGCCGCGTGCGCGCCGGCCTTTCATGCTGTCAACCTTGAAGGGCGACCGCCTTGGCCCTGGAACAGATATTACTAAATATGGATAACGGAATTATTTGAGTTTGCAGAGGATCTCAAGAGGTTCTTCTCCTTGTTTGGACAAGTAGAAGTTGGCTGGCCAGTAGACAATAACGGCGAACACGACGGTGTGTCAACATATGAAGCCTATGTCAATCGCGTACTCCTTTTTTCATGCACGCAGACGCCACGCCAAAGCTCCGCGCCGTGTTCTCATATGGCTTAGAAGTCCGCAAGCAGGGCTTTCGCTTCGCGGCTGCGTACTTCTTACGCAAAAAAGAGTACATGATTGACACAGACTGTAGAATCCAACTCTTGCACTGCTTGTTAACTGCAGGTTATATGTTTGCGACGTTTGCCTCAGCTGAATCGGTGGACAAACTCCTAGAAATGTGCACACGTCATAATGGCCGACTGACTGTCACCATGCCTATGGGTAATTCGCAATCTGCTAACGTGCGTTGCAGATATTCTTTCAATCGAGAGCTGAAATACTTAAATTTTTCAGATTCACATTCGGGTATGGTACACGAGGGATGCAAAGTATTATTCGCCTGAATTTAACGAATCCATGTTAAAAACTAATAAGAACTGTGCTTTTGTTGGAGGGATTCCCCGCACTATGACTGCAAGTAAGCTTAGTATCATGGATGGAAGACGCCGATTTATTCCTCACTGAATCTGACAGACGTTAATTTCAGAGCAGCTTGCGGAATACATGTCTATCACTTACGGCGACGTACTCTTCGCGCGGATTGAGGTGGTTCAGATTTGGAGTTTACAGTTTCCCAATACAATTGAAAAAACCTCTTGCTTAGGTAGAACTGGAGACAGATTACCCCAAAGGCGCCGGTTGTGTAATGTTCCGCTACCGTGAGGCATTCGTAACTGCAGTTGCCAGTCGCTTCGTCTCTCTGAATTTTGGAGACCATATAAAGCAGGTGCGCTTGATGAAAAATTGTGGATTTTTCCTCCTTTATCACATACTTGGTTTTTTACTTTTTATCGCTCACGGAACGTTACTGCAGTTTGAGATTGATCAAAAATTTTACCAGTAGGATAAGGCCGGACGAAGGCGATTGACACGGAGGAGCGAAGCGAGCGCGAAAGCGGTTATTACCAAAGGCGCAATCACCACCACGGTGCTGCCCACACGCATGTTCGTGCTCGTTAAAGTCATCTGGTTGATCGTCTTCGTTCGGCAACGGGCTCTAGAGAAGAGGTGTTCTTCGCAATAACGTAGGACGTACCGTCTGTCCGTTAGCAATCATCTATATTTCCTCTCAGGTGGAAATCCAACCCTATCTTATGCGACCTGTCGAATGCGAAATTTGCCAGGCGGTGAAGACGAGGAATTTTTGCCCTAAGTTTCGATGTCTGAAATTCATGTGTGAGGTCAGCTTTTATACAAAGGGATGGGCAACACAAGTGTAGGCTGCTTCAGCGAGAGTGACACAGCACCAGCGGTTCGAGCCTTGCAACGCGTTCGCATATGTATTGTCTGAGCATTCTCTTAAGCCTTAGAATCTGGCAAGGGAAATGCCAGGATACGTCACCAGAACGCGACGCAAGGTTTTGGCGGAACGTCCTCAGGTGTGACACTCTTGCTGAGACAGCCTCTATAGGGTGTTCATAAATTCAATTTCAGCTATGCTGGAGACAGGCCCATGTAGGTCTGCCAGATCACTATCCCCTGATGCGTTCACCTCCGCTTCGCCTGCGCGGTCTCACCGCAAATGTCGACGACCATAAGTAAGTAAAGGTTTTCGAAGAGTAGACTCAGTGGTGAAGTAATTATGTTTCAGAACGGAACACTACGCCAATGATGGCGCGCCGCACAGGTCCACTTCTATGCTTCATTATGAGGGTGCATATAACACTCATAATCTGTATGTATTAGTTCTCTTATATAGAGATATGCTTTTGAACCTAAAATTTATTAGGTGCAATGTTGTGAACTCTATTCAGTTCCCTCCAGTGTCCCTCTTCGAAGTAGAAAGGTTGGTGGTTAGCAACATTTGGTAAACTTCCCAATTCTTTTTCTCCTTTTAAAGTTTGAAGAAAACGCCGAATGATTTTAAAACATTCTAGTGACTTCCACAGTGATTGGAACACTGATTGCGGCATGTTTGACGTACGTGGTCCTCCACCTTCAAATGTCTTTCGATCACGTCCACTTACCAATATAATCAACCAGCCATCTGTCTTACGTCGTTATCGAGGACGTGAGCCAAGAAATGGCAGCTTCAGTGACCAGCGCAATCACTGGAGAAGAGGATCTCTCTCCTACGGCAATAGTATTAACAGATCCAGGAGCGCATTTACCAACCCTTCATACTACAGTAACTTTAATAACAGTGGTTATCTCTTCAATGACTATAATCATAGTGATACGAATGAGAACGCCAGCACACTTCACTTCTCGTCTAATCCTGGAGAAAACCAATGGTCCGAACACGCATCGAGAATTTCTACCAGTCCTAGTGCAAGTGAGTTTATTACTTGACGGAAGGGTGGGGGAGGTAAAATTGCAATGTGACACAGTAGCGGAACTACTCAAAGACAGCGTTCCCCTCAAACTGGGGTGTACTTAGATCTAGGCCTCGAGACTAAGCGAACAGTGAAGTCCGCGGCAGAGGGTGCTAAGAAGGCCTAAAGTTTGTGTCCAAAGTCTTCCGGACCCCGCCCTTCTCAAGACTCCGCCCACCGCCTAACTGAATACCCGAGCCTAAAGGTTCCTTCATACTACGCCGGCAAGTTGCCGCAGCCCAGC